ACAGCAGATTAGGAGTATCCAAGAGTATACTCTTGTAGTCCGAGAATTGGTCTATTGGAATCATACTTAATCATTTTAGAAACTTTAGAATGAAATTTTTTGAAATTAGCCGAACTTTGAGCAGATAAAATTGGCAGATGGAGAATTTTAGCAAATATCGAAAAAAGCATACAAGATTGTGGATCGGGAATCTTATATACAAAGATAGAAAATTCCATTTCTGAACCGATCCGGACCAAACTTGGCACACATACATTTCGGGCCCCGGCGGGTGTCATAGGCTGCTTTTCGTCATCAATCGATATCGATTTTATCGATTTTTTGCAAAATTTGAGCTACGGGGCTGGGAGTTGGCACAGGAGGGTAATCGAACATGTTGATTACGAATATAATAATGACATGGCCGGGCGGAGCCGGGTAAGTCATCTAGAGTATCCGTAAGAAAGAGAAGAAAAAGCTGCATCGAATGCATGTCAAAACTCATTCAGGTGTTTATTGTGCATGGTTTTATAGTGGTTTGAAAAAACCGACAAAACTTTCGGGACGACCTTATATTAGGTCGTCCCGAAAGTATTTTCGCTTTTTTCAAACGGTTGCCACAATCGATGGAACAAACCTTTCTAAGAGATCTTGGTAGCGTTCGATGCAGAATTTCATTCTCTCTCTAATGTTTATAAAACTGTTGCAAAACAGTCAATGAGCTTTCAGAAAATAACCAAAGTCTGCGACCCATGCTTTTTGAGATGGTCATGTTTCACGAATTTTTGAAACTTTCATATCAATCCTCAGAAGGAGATCAAGTAACGATTCGATAGAGTAAACCTCGTAGAATACAGTACTTCTTTTTTCTCTTTCTCGTAGCTCGCCGTGATTTTTTGAAAGATTTTTTAACAAAGCCATCGGATTTTGGCAGTCCCACCTCAGCCACAATCGCATCAAACATAGTAGTTACTCGGAATTTCAAGCTTTCAAGATGATAATGACTTAATATTGAATTTATAAAGCAAATGAGAGTTTAAGGATTCGAAATATCAAATTTGGAGTTTTCCGGGTACAGCCTGGGGGCTTCCTAAAGAAATGAATTGTGATGATTTTATCCCCGAAAACTAAACGAATCGGAAACAAAAAACACCCATTAGAAAGAGGAGAAAATGCTGCATCAAACAGCACCCGAGCTGCTCTTCCTTTGATGTTTTACAAGGATTTAGCTGTCCAAGTATGGAAATCGGTAGCATCAGTTAAAATTCTATTAAAAATGTATGACAAGCTATGGAAAGGAGAAAAAAGTGATACTGTATTCTATAAAGTTTACTCTATCCAATCGTTACTTGAACTCCTTCTGAGGGTTGATATGAAAGTTTCAAAAATTCGTGAAGCATGACCATCTCAAAAAGCATGGGTCGCAGACTTTGGTTATTTTCTGAAAGCTCATTGACTGTTCTGCAACAGTTTTATAAACATTAGAGAGAGAATGAAATTCTGCATCGAACGCTACCAAGATCTCTTAGAAAGGTTTGTTCCATCCATTGTGGCAACCGTTTGAAAAAAGCGAAAATACTTTCGGGACGACCTAATATATATATTATATACAGGGTGTCCGTAAAGTATGTATACACTGTTTGATCGTTAATATCTTTCTTCCCAACAAGTCTTTTCCCTTGCTTTGGATACCAATCTGTAGAGCTGGCTTCAGCTTAGATTTACAGTATAGAGCGAATCGTCCATCTTTCTCTTTTACTGTAGGATTCCGGTAGAAAATTGAGAGAGGGTTTTGGGCCATGAAAGGCCATATTTTGCCTCAGAAAGGAGATAAAACAGCCTGAAAACTTTTACACTAGGCTAATTAGAGTTGCTGATTCTAACTGTAAAGTTCCCAACTTATTGTGATGCTTCATTGAAGAGTTATGCCAGCTAAGAGTTAGCGGCAATTTTTTCAATGTTCCTAAAAAGTGCGGTTGCACCGTTTAGAAAGCTTCACAATCTTGTGAGTAGCTGAGCATTGAACTCAGCGTCCATAAAAACTTTATTACACAAGTTTTCACATTTTTTTGAAAAACTTTGAAACGGCAGCTTTTTCCACATTGACACCATATGTTTCAAGTTTTCACCGTAATCCTACAGTAATGAAGAGAGATGGTTGCTTCGTTCTATACTGCAAATCTAAGTTAAAGCCAGCTCTACAAATGGTACCTGAAGCAAGGCAAAAGACTTCTTGGGAAAAGAGATATTAACGATCAAAGTGTATACATACTTTACGGACACCCTGTATATTAGGTGGGTCCGAAAGTTTTATCGGTTTTCTCAATCTATCGGCAAACACGCTAGAATGAAGATAAACAAAGGCTTCAAAATGTATCCGATGCAGAATTTCTTCCTCTTTCCAGCTTCTAAACTCCCATTGTGTTTTGTTGCGAGAGTGGCGAGATATTTGCTGCGAATTACAACCACTTGTTTTTACCATGTCCAAACATTGCTAATTTTTAAAATTTTTGTATGAGAGTTTCGGAGGAGCCCTGATAACCAGCGGACAGGGCAAACTTTTTGCCAACAGAAGCAATTTTTTGTAGCTCTACGGCTTGTCTTTCAGAATTTCTACGATTTATTTCTTGAAGTGGCCAAATTTTACAATCAGCCTATTTTGACCTCTTAGAACAAGAAATGTTGAACATTTCAGTCACCATTCGATGCAGAATTTTCTCCTCTTTCTAATACTTGTCTTTTTTTGCCGAGACAGGCAAAATCTGTGAGAAAAATCGCAGTATTTTTCAATTTCAGGAGTGCGCACTGACGTAACCTATGTTTCAAAATCTTCATAATTGGAAACGAAAATCACTCATTTACTTTGTAATGGTAGCGGTAGTAATAATTATGTGTTGAAACCTCAGTTTTCTATAGATTTTGCATTGTTTGGTGCAATAACAGGTTATGCGATTTTCAAAACACAAGACTTTCAGAAAATTATTTAGCAGAACTCTGAAAAAGCAGCTAAAAAAAGAAAAAAAGTGCTTCTGCTGGCAAAAGGTTTCCCTGTCCGCTGGTTATTAGGGCTCCCCCGAAAGTTTCATAGAAAAATTCTGAAAATTAGCGAAAGTTGGAGATGGTAAAAACGAGTGGTTGTAATTTCCAGCAAATATCTCGTCACTCTTGCAACGAAACACAATGGGAGCTTAGCAGCTAGAAAGAGGAAGAAATTCTGCATCGGATACATCTTGAAATGATTGTTTATCTTCATTCTAGCGCGTTTGCCGATGGATTGAAAAAACTGACAAAACTTTTGCACCAACCTAATATTATTAGGTTGTCCCAAAAGTTCTTGCGCCGGATTAAAAAATCACAACTTCCTTGCCATTTGATGGATTTTCTTGATTTTAATTTTATCTGAAAAAGGAGGCCTTCCTATTTACAAGTACACCTTTGCTGTGAAGCGGCGTTAGAAAGTTCCAAAGCTAGCGGCAATTGAATGAAATCAGTCAAGATCGACATTTTTCAAGCTGGGTCACAAAACATTCTGGAAGTATTTTTATTTGACAGAGAATATTTTGCACATTACAATGGTACCTTTCCCATGATTTAAAACAAAAAAGATGGAGAGTTAGTAGCAAATAAAGAAAATTCCTCTAGTTTTGCAATTTTTGAACGTGCTCAAAAAAGCCCAAAAACGTCACCGAGAGGACGGAAAAGCCACGATTATGGGTCTTGTAGCCAGGGTAAAGCGGGGGGTGCAGCACGCCGCAAGGGGGGGGGGGGGTCGTAAGGGGGGGGTAGGTAGGGGAGGGGTCGTATCGACCCAAGGTCAAAAGCGGTTTCTAAGGGGAAATGACTGCAGCTAAGTTCTTAGATGTGCCACGCTCTTTCCCAACCATGACACAAACTTGCAGATACCGTATGCCTACCGTAACCTACCGTACCGCTAATCAAGCATAATTGTCGTAATCAGCGTGTCGAATAACCTCTATGCGCCAAGTTTCAGCGAACTCTGAGGTCTCCGAGCAGTAAACAACCTTGTATAAAGCAGTAATTTAAAACATGATTAACTTTATCTTAACGGTGAGTAAGCTACCTCTTCTTGCACTCAATGCAAAGCACTACTCCTTCTTTGTCCACCTCAGGAATCCCGCTTCAGAAGACCTCCAAACTATTGTATTAGAAGCCAACCAAAATCGCTTTTAGCTTTTGATCGCTGTGCTTTCACCAAATATTACTCAGAGCTAAGAAGACGAATCAGGCTCAAAACATCCCTATGGAATCTACGAGGTTTAGGCTATTGATTCATATAAATATTGTCCGCTAAAAATGTTTTTTTGATATAGTTAATGGCCTGCGGCACCCCCCTCAAAACCTGCGGCTGCCGCAGGTTTTGAGGGGGGGGGTGCCGCAGGCCATTAACTTACCTTAAAAACGCTCAAACAGCTGCCTTTTTCATATCATCCTATAGATTGATCCTTCCTCTCTCCGTAGTAGCTGTTTCCCCTCGAACCTTTTTCTTTAGAAGGAGATACATATGGTTTTTGCGAAGTGGGAAGTGCTGGGAAGTGTGGCCAAAAAATATTGGGTTACAGTAGGGCTCGAAAAATTGGCAAAACACAAGGCCGCGAGATGCGAGTTTTTGAAATCTACGAGCCAGTTTTTTGGGGTTCTCTCTTTTTTTCTCGCTTTTATCTCGCTCTCTTTCCCTATCTTTCTTCAACTCATTTTCAATCATTTTCTCTTTCTATTTCCAGGGCATGTAATGACTTGGGCGAAAGCATTGAAGAAATAGCAGCTCGACTAAGCCCACCATTAAAGCGACGGCGAGCTCATACTGGATTGTCACTGGAAAATTTGCTGATTTAGTCCCGGTAAAGTTCCAGTTTCACCTGTTTCATTTGATGACGGCGAAAATATTTTTGTTAGGTTGAAATCCTGCAACGTATGGAAGGAAAGCAATCGTTTGCGGTTGCAAAGAGTTGCTGAGCGTTTTGAATGTCCAGAACCCAATCTATTCGACGCAGCTGGTTTCCATGCTTCGTAAAGCGGTTTTGATAAAGGTATGTTTTGTAATTAAGAAATTTTCCAGGTAACTGACGTAATTCTAGATCGGTTTGGACGAAGATCAGGAGTTGCATCGCTCAGACGATAGTAGCTCGATATCGCGCGACATTCGCGAACAATTTATGTGTTGGACAGAATATGCAATGAAACGGTTAGTAGAGGACACCTATGTCACTTTTTCCCGCTTTTTGCATTTATGCACTGTCAGTTTTTCTTTTATGCTTCACCTTGATTTCGATGCGAAATTAACAGCTTTCTTTTTTTGTTGACAAGTTCCTCATCTGTTCAACTCCTTATTGATTTGTTAACGTTTTCATCTACAGTTTCGATTTTGTTTGATCAGTTGAACTGATCTCACAAGGTTAGAATCTTACTTTTTGTTCATGAGGTTGATTCTTTGATTCTTTTTTTGATTTCTTCGTTTTAGGTTCTCTGGCTTCTTCGCTATCTAAGGCCACTACCGTTTAGGCACTTCCATCGCACTAATATCGTCGAGTAAACTGGCTAGGGTGCAGTTTTCATCCTGTGACTTATCAAAAGTCATTGCTTCTATGGCAAAATTGTTCGTATTCGTTTTAGAGGGATTTGTGATAGTTAATACCTACTCTTTGAAAGATGTGCTACTATATTCATTGTTGTACAGCAAGAGACAGATAATGTGTTTATCTTCTTTGTTTTTTACTATGATGTGTATTCTTTTCTGTGCGTCTATAGTTCAGCTGTAGTTGGAGGCATTGTTCTAAGTGGAAAAGCAATATTTGTTTGATCAGGGGGCCGCACACACAAGATGGTCCTGGTAGCGAATATGAGTCTGAAAATAGGAGCTGGAAAACTCGCCGCACAAGTTGGTCATGCTACACTTGGTGTTTATCGCCAGGCAAGTGATATTTTTGTATCCTTCCTGTTGTATGTGTTCCATACCAACAAACCTTCCCTCACTGTGTTTTAACAAGCTATGAATTCGGAAGCCGGGCGCGGCCATTGACGCCTGGACACGCCATGGTCAAGTGAAGATTGTTGTGCGCGATAGCAGTACTGAAGAGCTCATGGATCTATGCAAAGCTGCAAAAGATGGCGTAAGTTGCATTGGTGTCTGAAGCTTTTTTTCAGTTTTTAATGATGTATGTTTTTTTAGGAGGAACTTGGCAAACGTCGCGACCTTCGCGACGAAATAATTTTCACGATAGACCCAAAAACAGCGCGTCTTGATGTGAGTTGTCAGTGGTACTTGTGATGACGTAAACGGAGTTGGACTGTCTGGCTGGGAGGTAAGCAAGCGCTGAACCACTCTACTTTAGACATTCTACTTTACATTCTTTTTTTCTTTCTTCTTTCTTTTTTTCTTCTTCAACCAGTAGAAGGTCTGTGTTGGATGACCTGTATTTTTTCTCATCGAATTGTGCGTGAGGTATAGAAGAAAGCAACAACGCTGTCCCTAGATTAACTGCCAGCTCTTTGTCGCTGTTAGTAAGATTGTTTTCAGTGGCATATGCAGTGGCTTACATACCTTTCCCATCAAGGGCAGCAGCTGAGAAAAACTAGCATTGTCACCAATATGTAATGATCAAAGCTCTATATCTGATCGCTAGCTGTTGCTCAAAAGCGGACAAATCTTATGCGATTAAGAAAGAAATGTCCTACATGTATTTTTCAGGTAACCCTTTGTAACAGCATAGGCTTTCCTATAAATGGCACTTCATCGCAGCAGTTATCGAGCACTGTCTCACCTTTTCGTTCCAACTCGCAATTGATGAGGTCTATCAATCAAGTGAGTTTGAAAAGTTTTATGATGTGCACGTTTACAGTAAGCTTACTCCAGGTTCTTTCCTGATATTTATGAAAGCATGGAGTTTGCAAGGTATTGTACCGGTTCCGTCAAAAGTCAGACTTACCATCATTTTGCGCTGAATGTGACATTGTAAGTTTTTTTGAGAATATTTCTGCTTTGCTTGAAAATGTATATTTGCAGCTACACACATTTTACTTCACCCATCCGTCTTTATCCGGATAGAATCGTGCATCGGTCGTTGGCTGCAGCTTTGGGTTATTGTGAGCCCTCCGAGCGAAGTGTCGAGGAAATTCAAAAAATCGTATGCGTTTTCGCCAAATTTTAAAATTCTTGATTCTTCTTTGCTATCGCTCCTTCACACTTTTTCAGGCTGAGCATTGCAATGACAAGAAACTGATAGCAAAGAAAGTTAGTGAATCCAGTGCGGAGTTGTTCTTTGTAGTACTCATACACGTAAGGAGTTTTATATTTGGAATAAAAGTTGTTGAGCAAATTTTTTTTCAGAGAGTGGGACCAACGGAAGCAAAAGGAGTTGTTGTAAATGTCCTAGATGCTGCATTTGATGTTCTGTTGTTCAAATACGGTGTGATCGGTGTACGGTATAATACGGTGTTTAATTTGGTTTTGTATGTTTTTATTTTGATAGCTTTTTTAAAGTAAAGAAGGTTTTTCTATTGTTTCTAACGCAATGAATTGAATGAAATCAGTCAAAATCGGCATTTTTCAAGCTGGGTCACGAAAAATTCTGAAAGTATTTTTATTCGATAAAGAAAATTATGCTCATTACAATAGTACCTTTTGCATGGATTAAAACGAAGTGGATCGAGAGTTAGAAGCAAATAAAGAGAATTTCTTCATTTTTGCAGTTTTTGAGCAGGATCAAAAAAGCTTGAAAACGTCACAGAAAGGGCGAAAAAGTCATGGGCATGGGTTTTGTGACCTTCCCTTTCTAGCTGAGCGAAAATCGTGCCATTCGGGAGCAATTTTTATTTTCGTTAAAAACGCAGGGCCGAAAATCAGAAAAATTCACGAAAAACAAAATTGCTCTCCCTTAGCACAAAAATCCCTTAGCTAGAAAGAGAAGGTCGCAAAACACATGTTTATAAATTTTTCGTCTTTTCTGTGACATTTTTAGGCTTTTTTGAGCATGCTCAAAAATTGCAAGACTTAAGAAATTCTCTTTATTTGCTCCTAACTCTCGATCTTTTCCGCTTTAATTCATGCAAAAGGTACCATTGTAATAGTACTCTGCGTTGATACCACTGCTTA